GCCTCAACGCCACATGCGACTCCCCGCAACACGCCTCCCACATACTCAAACCAAGTGCTTTGAACCGGAACAATTCACCCAAAATACCCTAGTCACAAAACCCAACCCGGTTCCCCTTCCGCCGCCTGCATGGCTGTCTCCTTGCACCGCTGTAGGTCGTACTATCCGCGAGGCTCCTGTACTATCCGCATGGCTCCTAAACACTGCCCTCTCCTGCCGCCGCTCACCAACCAACCGCCACCCGCACACCATCTCACACCCAATCCTTACCAAGCCGCTCTACAGCCACAAAGCAACGCCGCCTCCCTCCAAACAAAACACACTCCACACCGCCACGGGCCCGACGCAGCTGCAGCACATCCGCGCGTTCCAAGACGCCATAACGCTCACCTTGTGTCCTCCTACGCATGCCCAAAATAAACGACCTGATTACAAACGCTTCACCACACAGCACCACAGCCCGGTACCTGCACAAATATCGTTCAGCGCAGCCCCTCCACAGTCAACATCCCACAAACGAGACGCCCAGGTGAAGCTTCCCTGAGACACACTGGCTTGGGCTGGACACACAAGATACCCGCAACGTCAAAACAACGCGTCCACCTCAACGCCACAAGCGACTCCCCGCAACACGCCTCCCACTTACTCAAACCAAGTCCTCTCAACCGGAACAGTGCACCCACAGTACCCTAGCCACAACCGCCAATCCCATTCCCCCCCCGCCCCGTGCACAACCGTCTGCCTGCACAGGTGTAGTTCGTACTATCCGCATCGCTCCTCAACACTGCCCGACCCTGCTCCCGCTCACCAACCAACCGCCACAAGCACAACATCTCACACCCAATTCTCACCAAGCCCCTCTACAGACACAAACCAATGCCCCCTCCCTCCAAATAAAACACACTCCACACCGCAACGAGACCGACGCAGCTGCAGCACCTTGTCGCACACCAGGCTGCCGCAACGCTCACCTTCTGTCATCCCACGCGTACTCAAACGTAATCGACATGCTCACAAACGCTTCACCCCACGCCACAACACCCCGATACCTGCACAAATATCAATACATCCTCCCACGCCCAGTCCCTTCACAGTCACCATACCACAAAAACACCTCCCACGCTCTGCTTCCTTGAGACGCACTATCTCTGGCTGAACACACAAGGTACCCGCAACGTTACAACCACTCGTCCAGCCCAACGCCACAACCAACTCCCCGCAACACGC